AAGGAATTAGCTATAGTATAGATTGTTCTCTTTATTCTAGGTATTTAAGCTTGTGACTTTATATTACTTCTGTTTTTCACATTTGAATATAAATAATATATAAAGCTTCTAGCTGTTGGATTACAACATATAACACCAATACCTAGTGTTTGTAAGATATATTATTCTTTAAAAATAGTCTATATGTCACTCTGTGCATCTGAAATTGTGCGAGTATTATCAGTGAATTATTAACTGTATTCTGAAGATAGGAAATGAGGACTCACGGGCAGATTCTTGTCTTAAGATACATAAGTGCTTTTATGCAAAGATAATAGGTTTCCCATTCCTGTACAGGTCCAATAATTGGAAATTCAGGTATGAGAAATGGTCTGTTTTCATTTCCCTCCATTCCTAAGTCCTTTGCTCAGTTTGATTTTACTGTTTCTGAATTGGCAGTATTCTTCAGTGCATCACATACCATTGATAAGCTGCTTTGTGCTCCCTATCTGTATGTGAAGTAGCCATTCTAACATTCTAGAGTTCTGCTCTGGAATTCCTCTTTATCTAATCTTGGAAGTTGATTCTTATTTACCCTGTTCAGAGACAAGTTTACCTTATTGGATCAGACATTTATCCCTCTAATCTAATATCCTGTTTCCAACAAGACCCTGACATACTGTTTCAAAAGAGAACAGTTTTTTTTTTTTTACTTTCTTGAGTAAAACTTATTACAACTGCATTTAGATTGTGAGCATATTATTTAGCTCCTTTTTTCAGTACATGAGTATAGTAGATTGAAAGAAATTGCAAGACACTTCAAATTATCCCCATTGGATATCTAGTGTTGAACCCTGTGAGCAAATATCCAACGTGATATGAATAAAATTCATACTTCAGAAAATTTCTTGAAGCTGGGTTCTGGTGGCTCATGCCTGCAATCCTAGCTAGTCAGGTTGCAGAGATTTAGGTATAGCAGTTTCAAACAAGCCCAGCTTGACCATGAGACTCTTAAGTCCAATTAACCACTCAAAAACCAGACGTAGAGCTCAGAGACAGTGCCTAGGCCCTGAGTTCAAGCTCCATAACTGACTAAATAAATAATAAAATAAAACTCCCTGAGTTAGCAACATTTACTATTATTGGTCTACTAAGTAATTATTTAAATACAACTTTGTTTACTTAAGAAATACAATTTATTTTCCTTCTGTTATGTTTTGATGTGATACTGAAACAATATTTCCCTCAGGATCTGCATTTACTGAAAACTATCTTGCAGTTTTTGAGTGTAGTACTAAAGCTACAGACCAACTACCATTTGGATATTTTCAGAGGTTCAAAAACCTATGTCAGCATCATCTGTGGCATTTCTAAAAAGATGTAATCTAAGTCACTACTCTAGGAAAAATTGACTTTTTAGGATGAAGAACAAGAACCTTCATTTAATAAGAAACCTAAGGGCCAGAAGTGTAAAACCATAGTAAAATGTGTGCCTGCATGTGTTCAGGCCTCCGCACTAAAACAAATAATAATAATAGAAAACCAAAAACAAATACACAAGTCCTCCCAAACCTTGTGCAAGTTTGGAATGATGTTTTCAAGTTTAAAGAAGGGCTTCTGAAAGTAGAGGAGTGGTTCAAATAGTAGCTATGTCTGGTTCGTAAGAGCCCCTTGGGTTAAAACACACTACCACCAACAAAACCCAAAAAACTAAAAGTCGAGGGAAGTGAAAGTCTATAAAATTCTTGGTTAGTAAAGAAAGTATTAAACTAAAAAAAGAAAGAAAAAATGATGTTAAGCAAGAGTTACTCAAGTTCGAAAAGTATAGGTTAAAAGTCAAGAAACAACATGCAAATGCCAACATTTTAGGAGCAGATGCTTGGATATGTTTGAAGAATGGATGGGAATGAATGAAACTTGATCCATGGAGGACTTTTAAAATGTGATTTGATTATTCCTCTTCCTTTGTGGTAGGGCCCAGAGACTTAAAATTTAAATTTTCCAGTTTGATCTTCTGGTATAAGGAGTATAGTTTTAGAAACACTAGATTTTGAGACACCAATCATTAATCTTTTGCATGGATCTATGCATGATACCATGTACAGATACACACTGCCATGTATGGGACAGGGTAGGTTCCAAAGATAGAGATGTGTTATCATGGATGTGAAGTGATTCCAGACTAGAGAAGCAGATGAAGAAGTGAGATGAGTCCAGACTGGCTTTGGTGATGTTGGCTTTAGTGGATGGATGGAGAATGGGTACACTTACTTCAATACATGGACTAGAAGATGAGAAGCTGGCTGGGGGATTGGGTCTAAGACTAAGAATTTGGTGTTCAGACACTTCTGTGGGTAATTGAAGTTGAGATACATTTTAAGAAAATAGGAACTTGCTGGGTTGAAGGTATAGGTAGTAATTATAGAAGTAATTATATGGAAGTAACTAGAGATCTTACAGTAAAGAGAGAGAGAAAGGTGCAGAGGGCAGGACTTCAGGACACACTGAAGAAGGTAAAGCAGAATGAATTACCTTCACAAGGACTGAGAAGTTCTAGCAGGAGCCTGGAAGAAATGCTTTTACTTTGAGGTTGTGCTTAACGTGTCAGCTCCATGAGAGACCAAATTCCAGTGTGCCAGTACATTAAAAGTGCAAAGCATAACGGGAAACCTCAGTAAAAACAGACATAGAGACACAACTCGACTGCCTTCCTATCAATCTCGATGTGTACAAGAGATGTGTCTTCTGTTTTTCTGATACTTATTGTCTATTTTTTCCAGCTCAAAGGAAGGCAGTGCTATTGCTAGAACCAGTTTGTTGAAATAGTTGATGTATATTCAAGTGTTAAACTATTTTTTCAGAGTGAAATTTAATAAGATGCTTACAGGCCAGATTTAGAATAAAAACTTGTGTCATAAGCTTGTGTCATATTCTTCTTCCTGTAAGAAATAAGTGCCTCTAATGAGGCTGTCTCTTACTTTTATTTATTTATTTTTTTAGCACTAGAATGTGAACTCAGTACGTCACATTTGCTATGTAAAACTCTATTGTTTTTAGCTTCATGTCTGGCGGCTTTAGTTATGTTTCAAATGTGGCCTTGTATTTTTGTCTTGGTCTAATCTAGGACCAGGATCCTCCTATTTATGCCTCCCAAGTGCTAGAGTGACAGGAATGTTCCATCACCACACCCAGCTTGTTGTTTGAGATGGGATCTTGGTAACTTCTTTTTCCTTAGGGCCAGTCTCAAACCTCCATCTCTGCCACTGGTGCTGGATTAGAAGCCCACACAACCACTGGGATTATAGAGATATACCACCTAAACAGCTGGTTTTGTCCCTTACCATGGGAGGATTCAGAAATGACTGGGAGGTTTTATGGTCAATTCTTCTGCAAGAGCTTTGTTGTTGTTATTGCTATTTTATTATTATTTGCCATTCTTATTCCTGCCAGGGAACTGAGAAGGCTATTATTACTTTGAGAGTATTATTTTACTTTGTGACCTTGTGTGATTTTGAGTACAATTACTTCATTAGTTTTCTGACTGAGCAAACTTAAACCAAAAAGGAAGACAGGGAAATCGAAGTTGATAGCTGTTAAATCAGCTCGTCATTTCTGGTAATTTGACCAGAATTACTTTTTCCTGTTTTTTTCCTTCAACATTTTTCTAAGCAGATTGAAAACAGAAGAGTAAATACAAATTGGTGGCCCTCAGGGATGGGGACTTGAGATAAGAATTTCCTAAACAAAATTGATGGGTTTGTTTTCTTGTTTTTTTTTTTTTTTTGGCTTTTGTTTTTAAATTCTCTGGAACATGTGGTTTGGACATTTCTGTTCTGTTTTTTTTTTTTTTTTTTTTTTGGGTCTGGTCCTGGGCGCTGTCCCTCAGCTCCTCAGCTCAAGGCTAGCGCTCTACCACTTGAGCCACAGTGCCACTTCCGGCTTTTTTTCTTTTTGCTTATGTGGTGCTGAGGAATCGAACCCAGGGCCTCATGCATGCAAGGCAAGCGCTCTACCACTGAGCCACCTTCCCAGCCCTGGACATTTCTGTTCTGTAGTAGTTTGTCCACTCCAGTTTACGACAAGCTTCTCAGGGGTGTATGCCTTCACCCTTCTTCCTGACTCTCTGGATAGCCAGACGAGACTGAGCCCATGTTTTCCCTCCAGTTTGCATATTTCTGTTCTTCTCTTCAATGAAAATGTCTCCACAAAACCTGGGTCAAATGCAGAAAGAAAAGAACTGCCAGCACAATAGCAAGCCTTCTCAATGATCCAGATAAAAGCACATTTTCTACTTCCTGGAAGAACTGATCTGGTCTGGCCAATTCTCTGCACCCATGCTGTTATTTTGCCTTCCACTTGACCAGTTCTTCAAAGCCTCATGTTAAGAGACAAACACTTCAAATTTCAGGCTCTGAATAATCCAGATTTTAATTGTTATTTCAGAAAACAGTCTGATTTTTGTAAGAAATCAGTCAGGCCCTTTTAAGCCTAGCAGAGTATGACTTAAAGGCTGGTGTTGAATACAAAGGAGGGGATTGGTGGATATGTGCGTGTGAGTGTGTGTGTGTGTGTGCATGTGTGTGTGTGTGTCTGCATGTGTGTGTCTGTCTGTGTGTCTGTGTGTTTGTCTGTGTGTCTGTCTGTCTGTACTGGGCCTTGTATTCAGGGCCTGGGTGCTGTCCCTAAGCTTTGAGTCACAGCTCCACTTCCAGTTTTGTGCTTAATTAATCAGAGATAAGAGTCTTAAGGACTTCCCTGACCGAGGAAGCTTTGAACAGCAATTCTCAGATCTCAGCCTTCTAAGTAGCTAGGATTATAAGCGTGAGCCACCAGAGCCCAGAAGATTTGTGGATTTTTGAAATTCATTATATAAAGCTCCAGAGCCCTCTTCAAACATGAGCAAGAATATTTGGAATATTTGAAGGAATGACACATTATTTTCTCTTTACTTACTTTCCTTTTAGGATGAATACACATTTATCAGATTAAAACTTTCTCCTTTTTTTTTCTTTCTTGAGCAGGTTGTCAAGTTATTAAGCAATAAAAGATCACAAGCAGTTGGAATTTTAATGTCCAGTCTTCATTTAGATATGAAAGACATACAGCATGGTGAGTATTAGAACAAAACTCCCCCTTTTGAATAATAAAAGCTAAATGGAAGAATATGAGGTTTGATGGTGAATTCATTTTGAACTTAACTGTGTCTAGGGAACATAGTGCGTCCAGGCTTTCTGCCATGGTTATTTTTGGAAAATTACAAAGGGCCTGATTGTCATAGACATTAGTATTCTATCATTCTGTCAAAATAAAAAGCCATTGACTGAGTGGCTTTTAAACTACAGGAATTTGTTCCTCATACTTCTAGAGGTTATTCAAGCACAGCTCCACCTGGGCTGTGCTGCCAGCACTGTGGGTAATGAAGCCTCACGCTTCTGGCCTATGACTGTCCCTGGACCATGAACTTCCCTCCCATAGCTGCCATGCAGCTCTGATAACAGCCACGTCGGACTATGCTTAAGGTGATTTTTGAGACAGAATCTCCTAACTTTTTTGCGCTGCTGACCTCAAACCTTCACATTCCCAATATTTTCTTTCCAGGTTCCCAGATATATAGTCATATACCACCATGTCCATCCTTAGCTTACATTTTAAACAGGATTATAAAGTGTTTTCTACTGTTAGAATTAGGATGATTTGTACTATTTTTTAAAATGACATTTGATTCTATATTTTAATGTTTAAATTCTGTCCTATTCTGAATAGGAGTTTCTATTCCATAGATGTCTTTCACATTTATGCTGAGAGATATTACCTAAAGGTGAATACAGGAATGATACAAAAATATTCTCAAGGTCTTTTATGCTGCCCAAAACCTTAGAATAGATCTAAAGCAGATTGTTTTATTCAATGGAATGCCAGTTTACCTGTTAAAAGAATGTAGTTTCAAGTATAGACCTGACAACATTTAACTGGCTTTCTAGTTTCCCCATTTATGAATATGGACTCTATTTTTAGGCCTAATACATTGTGTGGAATTATTCATAAATAGCCCCAGCATGGTATGCTCTGTCAATTGATGAGTAAGTCTTAATCACAATTTACATTTTGATTAAATTGTTTTGATGGCGAGGAGACTTCCTCAAACTGAAACATTTGGGGTAATAGTCATAGGAGAGAAGGCCAAGCCTGGCGCCAACAAGGACTTGCTTTGCAAAAGCTGGCAGATGTAGCCCAGTTAAGTCACAGAATGAAATCTGAAAGTAATGATATGGTCTTTTCCTTCAGTCAAATATTCAACTTGGGCTGAGCTAATAATGAGAACCGTATGAATCAAGGAGCCTGCCTGACATGTCTGTCTGTGGTGCAGCCAGAGAGTTCATTGAAAATTTACTTGGTAACATGCAATGGGATTAGTCACAAGGTGTGAATGGCAGTCATTGGTTGATCATGCAGAATGAGGTGTAAACCTTATCCTCTTAGGATGAGAAGTGATGAATGGAGTCCCTTTGAATCTCTCCAACATTTATTAATTGTGTGTATGTGTGTGTGTGTGTGTGTGTGTGTGTGGTGTGTGTGTGAGTGTTATGCTGAATATTGGATCCTTGCTAAGGAACAGCGTTGCCACTATCTATATCACTCAGTCACACATACACAGTTCACACGCGTACACACACACACACACACACACACACATACACATACACACAAATGCACACAATATGGCACTTCATCAACTTCCATCTTTCCCATTTTACATGTGTTATCTTTGTCTCTTACCGGAAACTCCTATCTGTCTCTGTGTATTCTCTCAGCCTCTCATACATGCTGTACTGAGCCAAATCAAAAGAAAGTGTCATGGATCGGGATATTTTGAGGACTTCATTAAGAGAAGCATATGACCATTTATTAAGATATTTGTAGGCACGTGATATTGCAGGCAAGAAAAAAGGGGGAAAAAGAACCCTGAAGATACTCAAAAGTAAAGACTTATATGGGGAAGATTTACAGGAGTAATCATTTGTTTTCAAAGGCAGGATGGAAGGAAAGGGTCATGGTGTACTTTTTGAGCTTTACTGGAACTGAAATTGTTGTATTGTGTGCACCTTCCCTGCTGTGTATGAGGATGAAACCTTACAGCAAATTTATGCTGAGCATGTCCTTCAAAAGTCTCTCCATCCATGGATCACTGTCACTAAAACAGTGTAGAAGTCACCTGGCAAATGACTCCCATGATCAGAAGGGTTTTCAATCGCTTAGTACAAGAGTGTGTACATCTGAAGGCGGCGCTTACATCCATGACTTTGCTTATCATTTTGTTGTGTCAGGAAGGCAGTCACTAGTTAATCCTTTTAAATGAAATCCTTGTAAATTAACGTTTCAAATATGGTAAGAACTGTAGTATGATTTAGTAGTTTGAAACATTAACCAGTTTGTGCTGTTTGTTAAATATGGTCCAAAGGACAAGCATTTTAAACACTTAGATTTTTTATAGGTCATATATGTGTTTTTCACCTTAAGATATTGCCTTATTGCTTGAATGGAAGCAGCATGTTCTACTCTGAACAAGGCTGGTGAAGCTGAGATCCATTCCCAGAAAGGCAAAATCACATTGGTTAGATTTCTCATCCTTCAGACCTTCCATGACCACTTTTCTTTCTTTATCTCCTCTTGAGATTTTGCCTTGGTCAATTAGAAAGTACCTAGTGTGTTCTTTATCTCTTTGATGAAAATATGGTCAAATGTCTCAATTATCAAAATAAATACATCCAACTTGTGATTCTCCAAGTTGTAATTTTCTTCTGGAATTCTTTAATCCTACAAGAAAATCCTTTAGTGCTACTTGACACAAATTCAACGGGGCAAATCTACCTGGTTACATATACAATAAATGAATGTTTAATGTTTTTGACTAACCTGTCCCTAAACCATGCAATATGATGCACCTGCTTCAAAATACAAGAACATATCATGGCATAGCAAATGAGTTTAAAGAATATATTCCTGGAATTCAAGTAGGCTTTTTCCTTGGATAACTATGTAGTTTTCTATTTCAAGAATGGATTTTGGGGAATAATTGTGTACTGATTCCTATCAATTTTATTCCTTTATTATAATCCTTTAAGGAATTATAGCAAAAATGCATCATTTCCTCAAATTTTCAAGTTGAATGTTTAAATTTAACTATTGTCAACATTTTTTGGATAAATCTGCAGGAATATGAAATAAAACTAAGACATACCACTTTTAGAAATAATTTGCCTGTTTTCTTTTTTCTGGGAGTAAATGTTTTTTTTTCAAATGTCTTTATTGGAACTATGAAAGACAAACTTTAACTTTAACTTAACTATGAAAGACAAACTTAAACTTTATCTCTGACCTGTAGCTATTCTTGGGAAATAGTATTTGTGGAGCAAGACATAGCTTTGACATTTGACACCTGCCCTGTGAAATCCTTAAGGTCTCCAGAGAGTGGGCAGGCAGGGGCACTTAAGTTAGAGCTCTATACTGTCTAGAGTGTGCATTGCTGGCAGTAATGGACAAACACCTTTCCACAGCTAGCTTAAGGCAACTTACATTCTTTCATCTTTCTTCACAGCTGTTGTGAACTTGGACAATTCTGTGGTTGACCTGGAGACACTTCAAGCTCTTTATGAGAATGTAAGTAAGGGAAGATGTTTATGTGAATGTGTGATTCACATATAACACCTGTGCATGTGTGCACATAGGCACACTCTTCTAATATCCTCCAAGGAATCTAATCAGGTGCAGTAAACTTCCCTAAGTAGGGCTTGGTTACAGTATTTCTGAGGGCACATTAGGAAAATTTGTGGTTTAATAGTTACAGGGTGTGATTCACAAGATGCTGCTTATAAAGCCACTCTCGTTTCCTCTTAGAATTAGTAATAAAGGCATTCATGGGAGTTGAGTTGATTGTTCCCTTAGTTTACATACAGTGACTTAGAATAGTATTTTGGATAATTTTGGGTCTCTCTATAAAGAGATTTGACCAAATATAAATTTCTGGATGTAACTATAGAAACTCAGAATGTATGTCTTTTTTTAAGTATGCATATATATAGGTAGATACATATACTTTATATATATAAGATATATATATATATCTTTATAAGATATATATCTTATATATATAAGATATCTTTATATATAATATAAAGATATCTTTATATATATACTTTATATATATACTTTATATATGTATATACATACTTATGTATATACATATATGTACATACATATATGTATATACATATTTATATGTATAAAGTATGTATATATATATATACATACTTAAAAAGACATACATATACACACACATGATGTTCAAATTAATGTTATGACTCATAAATATAACATGGAATAATTAAATCAAGCTAATTATATATCCATTGTGTTGAATACTTATATTTGATAGTGAAAACATTGGAAATTTAATTTCTTAGCAAGTTACAATGTCCAGTATATTTACCCCACTTTGAATATATCTTCAAAAAAGTAATATTTAATATGTTTACTTGAGGCATTATAGCGTATGATTATTATCTCCCTATTCTCTGCATTCTGTGCTAGTCCTTTCAATTTGAATGTTTTACATTACACAGAAAACAAACCATGTGGTATTTTGTTTTCTGTAGTGGCTTATTTTACCTAGTTCAATATTTTCCAATTCCAACTTTATTGTTGTAAATGACAATTTTTTCCCTTTTTAGATCAAATGTTAGTGATTGTATGTGTTCATGTTTGTTTGTCATTTTCTTTATATAGTGGTTTACAAATAGTATTTGTTCCATTAATATGTATATAGAACATTAATATCCACTTACATAAGCCTATTTTGGGTAATAGATGTTTACGTATACATTCTATATAGGAAAAACTTATATGAATTCCTGACAACCTCCATTAGAATACAAGTCAGGAGGATAGAAATATCTCTTACTTATAGCAATATTGCTAATACCCAGATTTACGATGATTCTGATACATAGGGATTATTAGGTAAATACTACTGGATTTTTGTTCCTTTTTTTTGCACATTGAGTATAAGCAATTTAATTAGGTTAATTTGTTTATTTCTCAAAATTAACTCATAAAGTGGTAAGTTTACTTCATTTTAACAAATGAAAAAGTATCGCTTAGAAAGGGTGATCTAATTTCCCTTGGGATCAGACTGCTAACTGCATAATGCAATGTGGATTAAGATTCAGGTCTAATTCTGAAATTAACAACTTTGCTCCATCACAGCTTCAGAACTTTGATATAAGTCACCTATTTCCCTTCCTGGCTTTTTCACATCACTTCTTCGTATGTTTTCTTTATTCTTTACTTCATAATTCTTTTTCTCTTTTGGAGGTACTAGCTTTTGAACTCAAGGCCTAATAGTTGCTAGAAAGATAACGCACTGAGTTTTTATGAAATTGAAACCCTCAAAAAGCCATCATTGGCAGCTTGATCTTAACACTTGAGCCCTTTGGGGGGAACACTTAATACCCAGACTACACCAGTGCTTATAAGCTAATGGCTTATGTGTGAGAAGTATATTATTACTCCTGTTCTTCAAAGATGAAATAGAGGTAGAAATTCATACAACTTCAAGCCGAGGTTGATACTTGCTTACATCTTGCTCTAAAGAGTGTGCTCTTAGAGGAGAACTTTCTCGCTCATGAGGAAAAAGGACAGAGCTCTTCCTGGTTCAACTTAGGCAGCACAGGTAGTGGAAAGTTGGACAACGAAGCTAGAACCTTCTTGAATTCCGTACCTCAGTTAAGCAGATACATGGCCTCACCAAGTTAGTTCCTCTTCTTCAGTGTCACTTTCTTCATTCAAATAAGAACTTGGTCTTCTTAGGAATCATAATATCAAGGTTAACTTTCTGTTACCACAAAATGGATGTACAAATGTTTTGTAGACCATTAATGACTACTGTGCTTTCATTTATGTTCAGTACTGGAGATTGAATATAGGGTCTCATTTTCTTATTTTAATAAAATGTAGGCTCCTCTTCAACAACTAATTGATGCTAATAAAATATTTTTTTAACAACTTAGGACATATAAACAAAACTTGAATGTGCTAAACTAAGAAAAAGTGTAGGGATAGCACTTATTTAACAGTTATTTGTAATTATGTTTTTCTAAGTCTAAAAGGATTCAGTGTAACTATGCTTAGGTGCTATGCAAATTAAAGTAAAAGTGTATTTTCTTCAAGTGTCTAAAGATCTTGCAATTAAAGAGTTTAAATTCTTATGTTTCCAGAAACCATAAGTAAGTTGGGGGGAAGAGTAATTTTGAAAGTTAATCAAATGAAGAATGATCTTCCTTTGTTTCTAGACATCATTGTCATTCTAAAACTTGAATTTTATCTTTTGAAACAATCTTAAAGAAGAAAAAAAGTTGCAAATGTAAAATATAACCATTTCTAATTCCCAATACCATAAAATTTTTTTGCAAATATCTGTCAAGATATCTTGAAATCCAATTTTTTGGGTGTGCATTTCATACAAATAAGCTGATCCTTTTAAACCATGCAAGAATTAACATTAGGAATTGCATACTGAAGTATTATCATAATCTGATACTTGTACTCCAGCTCAGATTTGCCAGGTGCTTCAAAATATCTTGTGGTTGGAGGTGGTTGAAACTTGCAAAACATTTTTATATGCCCCTGTTCCGCAACAGGCACTTGCTGATTTTCACTTTGTATTTCCCCTGTGTATGTATTCATTTTCTCTTCCAACTTATGTGTAAATTCCCCATTAGTAAGATTTTTATATTCCGACTGAAAATAATGGTTAATATACTCATGTCTATTACCAACTAATTAGTTAAATGGTGACCTGATTATAGCATTCTTCTTTGCTTTCATATAACTGAAAGAATTTTATAATTGAATAGTAAAAATAGCTGGATCACTATTTCTGCTTTAGATGCTTTACCTTAATGAATGATGACCATAAAATGTAATTTGTTTTGCTGGGTGCTGGTGAATCAAACCTGTAAGCTATTCCGAAAGCAGAAATTTATAGAACTGAGCCTCAAATATAGCTTGGGTAGAAAAGTGCACTATAGTCTATCTCTAATTAGCCAGCAATAAACCAAGCAGGAAGCATTGTTGGTTCTTGATGATGGCCATTCAGACTTGATGAAGATGAAATCTCAATTTGTTTTTTCCCCCTTTTTATTGTTATTGTAAAGGTAATATACAGAGGGGTTACAGTTATGCAAGTCAGGTAATGACTGCATTTATTTTTGAACCATGTTACCCCTTCCTCTCATCCCCACTCACAAGTTGTATAGTTCATTTTCAAAATAGTGTCTAGTGAGTGTCACTGCTTCATTTGTTTGCCCTTTGTGATTTGCATTACACCAGTGGCTCAAGATGTTGAGCATGTTCTTCATGTATTTGTTTGAGAACTCTCCGTTCAAGATATTTTTGGCTATTTATTGAGTGGATTGTTATTTGACATTTAATGTTTTGAGTTCTTTATTATTCTGAGTATTAATTCCCCGTTCGATGAATAGCTACTAATGTCACTCTCCTAATTTTCAAGCTGTACTAGATTGTTTTAACTGATATTTAATTAGTCATTCCAGATTTGTCACATCGTTTATATTTTTTCTTTATGAGCCTCCAACTTAACTGTTTTGTATTGGAAGTGCATCTCTTACACAGAGTGTGTTGTGATCATTTCTCTTTTCTTGGAAAATTTGAATTGTTAACATTTAATATAACTATTGTGATGGCTCAAGTGCTATTGGAAGCGCATTATGCCTAAGAAGTATAATGCCCTGAGTCCAAACCCTACTACACCCCAGATTTGCTCCCAGAAGGAAAACAAAGTGTGGTGCTACCACATGTTGTTGACCCTGTGAACAAAAACCTGTAGCATTTATACATTATAAACTAGTGAACATCAGCAAAAGGCAACTTGGTACAATCCAATATAATTAGTGGTACACCAGAACATTCACGCCAGGAATTCTATCCCTAATTCTCATCAAATACTTTTAATAGCACACTACCAACTACCAAACCTGAGTAGATTAAATGTATAGGTCCATGCAGATTTGTCTGATTATTTGAATATAATTCCAGGCCAGGAGAGAATTGTGAGGATTTTAAAAAAATAATATTTTAAAGTATAAAAGTATAGAATAATTTCTTTCACATGAAAACATAGTTGAGTCCATTCTGCTCTGCGCTATATATCAATCTAAATATAAACTCAACAAACATGAAACCGGGATCATATTACCATTATGCAGCAATAATGTGGAATAATATTTTCCATATGGGGTTAGACATTTGTTTTTGTTATTTTTTCTATGGCAAGAAAACCAGAAACCAAACAAGTAATAAGAAAGTAAAAATTCCCTTCCCATTCCTGGGAAAGAGCTGAGCCTTTATATCCCAAGAACGGGTTCTCCTGGGTCAGATAGTCTATCTGGCCCTTTTGACTTCATAATCACAAACACAATTTTCTTCATCTTCATCAATTGAGGCAGGCTGTTGTGAGAGTTCAGTTGTCAAGGCTCTCAAATTGGTATTGTCTTTATTTGTCTGTAGATTCAAGGATCTCACGACCATTTTATCCAGCTGTTCTGCAACAAACATTTTTATATTGCAGTTGTAATAGTAGT